AATATTAATAAGATATTTTTTTACTAAAATTTTTCTTAAATTCTACTCTACAAAATAGCTATCTTAGATTTTTTTTTTACATTTTATTTAAAATTTTAAAATAATTAATATTTTTAATAAAATGTAAAAAAATTAATTATTGAGATATAGCTATAGACCTAACGTATAACTATTATTTAAAAAAAAAATCAACTAAAAATATTAACTGGATCAAAAGTTATTTATGTTGTCAATGAGTGGTGGGCCACCCTGTATATACATATATGTCTTTCTAAAATATATAAAGCCGCTCAGAATACTATCACCCATTACCATACAACATTCTCTGCATGCGCGTATATTATTTTTCCTAGTAACATACACGTGTGTGTGTATCGATTTATTTTTTATAAATAAAATACTCTTTATCAAACGACGCATAAAAATCGCTTGATACAAAATATGTAAAATTTATTTAAGTAAATTTTTTTTCAATTTAAATTAAGAAAAATCAAAAAAAAATATTACGACATTAAAATAAATAAATTAAACGCTGTATAACATTCGTTTTATAGGATAAATTTATTATTTTGTTTTTTTTTTATAAATCATATTATTCTACCAAATGAAAATTATTTTTTATTTTTACTTTTTACGTCACTTTAAAAGTCGATAATATCGACTAAAAGGGATTGAAAATCGCTATAAACGTGAAAAAAACTTAACAAATCAAGTCAAGTCGAAAAAAAAATGGCTGTAATAAAAAAAATTTTTTTTTTATTTCATATCTCTAATTACGGTTAAAATTGATTAAAAATAAAAAGCACAATATCACGTATTCTATGTAATAGAATGCTACGGTAAAATCATATTTTCAACTATTCAATTGGAATTACAGTATATAAAAAATATATCAGCTTAATTAATGTGCGTGAGATACGGTATTGTGTATATTTTAAAAATAAAATCATCATTTCCTGTGCAATAAGTTTTTAACATCCCATTGAATAATATTTCACTTAAAATTTAATTGTTACATTTGTACAGTTTTACGTAAATATTATTCTCGTACTTTGGATTTATTTCTTTCAAAACGTGTTAAAATGTAGTACACTGAAAATTAAAATAAAAATTATCTAATCTATTCAAAAAACTGTTCAAACATCACGATGCACAACGTGGTGTTTTTTAAATCTGTTGACGTGTTCCCTAGTTCAATCGCGAACGAGGAAAAAACTTTTTAAGACTATCGATCAGCGTTAAAAAGATTGATTCTTTCGGTAAGTATTACATAAAGGCAAATATTAGGTAAGCCCTATTTAATACCATTGTGAGGCACTGCGCTTATTTACAATTTTTTATCGTAAAACGTAAATACTTCTATAGCTTTAAACATTTATTAATTACAATTATCATAACGGTAAATTCATTTTGAGACGTCTCATTTTAAAAAACAACACGTTATTATAAATATACATAATAATACATTTTACCTCTGATATGATATCCGAGGTGAAATTTAATTGCTAAAAATTTTTTATTTTTCAAATTCAACTAACTGTAAATTCAAGAATGACTCGGAAATCCGTTAATTTATAACCGAATTTCTACGAATTATAACTGCGACAACTCGTATGGATTTTATGAATGTCCTCCGTGAATCTATTTAATTTTACAATACTGATTTTCTTAGAAACGAAAGTTTAGGAAATATATGGAAAAAATGTAATAAAATATAATGATGTCAGAAATTATTATAGNGTAATAAAATATAATTATGTCAGAAATTATTATAGTTGTAATTACGCTTTTCAGATGATGTTCAAGAAGGGTTTAATGATTTTATTAGTTTTATCATTTGCATTTTCTATGGGTACGTTGATGTAAATATTATTTGATTTATGTATATTGAAGTAATCGTAAAATATGAAAATGTTTATAAATTGTTCAAAAATTATTATTATTGAATTGAAAAAAAAAATGTTGGTTCTTAAATTAATTATAATATAAAAAATCTATTGTTATTGATTAGAATAGATGCTAATTACTAATTAAATAGACGTGATTAATGTATACAGTAAATATTTCGAATTTAAGATTTACAAAAAATAATATATATTCTTTTCAGTATTGCTTAATACACGAATAATTTAAATTGGGCTTTAGTTATACAATATCCAATATTGTATACGAGGTGGTATACAATAATTAAATCAAAATAAATAATTGAAAATGATTTATTTTTTTTTTATAATTTTCAACACGACTTCTGCGTTATGCGTTTATAACTACTTATAGGTTACAATAGCTAATATTAAATGTGTTATATAATTTCGAATGGTCGAAGAACTCAAACGATCAATTAAAAAAACGGAGTATCTAGTAATTGAATATTTATTTTGTCGAACATCCAATGAAAATGTCAACATTCAGATCATTTATTACGATTAATTTATTATTAAGTATTATTTTTAGTACTGCAGCCATTGCCGAAGCGAAGTTTTACAGGTTACCGTCCCGAGAATGACAGGGATGAAGTATCCTACTGGTAAGTCTATCCTAGACTTGCCAGTAAAAATGACTGTATAACGAAAAAACGATTGTTTTTTGTCTGAAAAGCCTAATAAAAGTTTTTCTAACCAATAATATCCTTCCCGAATAAAACTTTTACTGCGCCTCTACTATATGCGGGGCTTGAAACACATGCATTGACCACTCCGGCCTGGCCAACCGATGACATTTTAGATTTGCACCGATTTGTACCATTTCAGTATAAATTTTCGCACTGAATTGATATTGTTTAGGATTTTGTTTTTCAATCTCAAATTTAAGTGAGCGAAATCATTTAGATTTTATCACTTTAAAACAATGTCACAGATAGATATCGATAAAAAAAAATTTGAATAGGAATATTAAAAATTACAGACTTGTACACGCAATAAAAATTTCACTACAATTCGATAAAATATATTTTATGATAAATACGATATGTTCAATGAAATTAAATGAAAATTTGAATTCATCCCACATCAACCCCCCCTCCTAACACGGACGGTCTGTAAGACTTAGTGCCGGCATTGATAAAGTGTAATACAGAGATTACATAGATTGTTATAGTTAATAGTATTGTAGATAGTATAATCGTGTAATAGATGAACTGGAATTCCAAGTATTTTTTTAATGATCGCAGTCTAAATATTTAATCACTACCACTTCTGTAGCACAATTTATAAATTGCATGTTCGTGTACTTCATTCATTCATCTAATTTCAATTGTCATAAAATGTATTTTATCTGTATCTGTTTCACAGAAAATGACGAGTGTCCTGTTTGCCAAAAATCAAAAAATATCAAAATACCATACCCTTGTATGCACAAAATGTGCAATACATGCACAAATCTAATTTTAAATTTCAATAATTCTATTTGTCTCTTGTGCAAAACTTCCATTAAAAAAACGTCGGACCTAGGTAAATATGAATAATAATATAAATTTTATCGTACAGGATATTTAATAAGTAAAAAAACTGTTCAATTTTTAAGAACTTTGATAAAGGGGCAACTTGGATAAAGATTACCGATTCCATAATTGAAAGTAAAAAGAAACACTTTAAATTAATTAAAAAGAAATTAAACGAATGGTAATCATCGTATATTTTGTAATTAATAACTATATTTAAATTGAATTTTAAGCGCCAGAAATGCTTTTCTATAATTAAATTATTAACGCGATTCCGTTTAAAAAATATATCCGTTTAGTATAAATACCATTTCTAAAAAGATAGCACGTTTAACTTTTTTTTTAATTATTGCTTTCTCGAGCTTATTGCTTAGAACTTGCATACGTTACGTACAAACGTTCGACATTAAACAGTCTTATTGTCCAAAACGTTGTGAATTCGATATAACTACAAAAAAAATTCGCCATAGTTTTAAGAAAATATTGGGCTTTAGTTTATTTTAAAATAAAATTTTAATTGTTACGCCCGTGAAATAGAAACAAATAATAAGTAAATATGTCGGTAGTTTTACTAAAATTAAAATGTTTAGAAACCTACGAAAAAGAACTCGAAAGTTTAACGGCTGCTGTTATGAATAAATCGATTACTGTCGAAAAAATCATTTCGCATTATTATTTTCTTCCACCTTGGCAATGTGCTGATGAACAAATGTTGACAGACATTCAAAAAATTCAAAAATTATATCCTACTGAAGAAATATATAAGTTATTTGACATTTTACAAAATGTTGGTTTTAATTATACTATCGAAGAAGATATGAAGCATCGTCGTATGTTTTTTCGCGAAAAGCCTAATAACACAGAGAAAATTATATTGCAAAGCTATTATGATAGAAATCACTATGACGCTGAAAAAGAATTAGAATTACGAAAAAATGTGTTCAAGGAATTAAGTATGACAACATGTGCGTTAGTACCATAAAACCATACAGTTAACGACTGTTGATTAACTAAGTAAATATTTTTATATTTTATTGGAAATAAAAATTTATCTTTCGATTACATTTCCTTTTTTTTTACACTACAACATTTGATAATTTTATATCTGAATTAATCCGGGTGATTACTATCGTTCTCAAGCTGTCTCATTCAATCGTTTAAAAATACAAAATCGTTAGCGTTCTATTTAATACTGAGATATAATTTTTTTAATTGACTTTGCTATACTAATATAACAGTATAAAAAAATCCGGTATCACAGTGGAGTATTACATAAAGATGGATGCGGTGGCCGAGTTGGTAACGCTGCACTGCTTAATGCGCGCTATCTCGTGAACCAAACTCACGTGAAAACAATAGAAGCTTTATCTTCCATATTATCTCCATTTTATTTTAATAGGAAAGCCAGTTTTTAATTTCTTTCACTATAAAAACCGAGATAAATTTCTTGAAACATTGGATGTATTGTATTCAAATAAATATATGTTAAATGTTTTTTGAGCAATAATTTCTAATAAGTGGTGAGTATTTAAATAGTAAGCCAAAAAAAAACAAATCATATTAAAAAAAATTGTGACCTCTGCTGAAGAAGTAAATTGAGTAAAAAAATGGTAGTACAATTTGGAAGTGGCATGGTTGGGACAAGTATAGACAATATCTGTCAGTGATTAAAATCACCATCATAAGAAAAGCTTCGATGCAAATCTGTAGATAGTATTTAATTTTAATAAATAATTGGATAATTACAAAAACAACGTCAACTCCTATTTCCTTAATTCTATCCTGATTAGTTGTTTTTTGATATAAAAGTATAACATATGAATGAATATACATTTAACGTATATTTAATATTTATTATTTTTTATTTTGAATATGTTACTTTAATTAAATTAGTATAAAAATTTAAAGTGTTTGATGTAATACTTCTAAAAAAATTTTTTCGTTACTTGTGAATAAATACACTGGACTACAAGAACTTTCATCGGAATCAAAAATAGACTTTCACAAAATAAAATTATATAATATTTCATAAATATTAATTTTTATATTTCGTAATATTAGTCAACGCTTTTATGCGACTATACTCAGAAAAAATGTATAAATTTCCCTAGTACACATAAAGAATTTGGATAATATCTACGGTAAAAATTAGACTAAATCTTAACATTTAACTATCACAGGGAAATAAAATTACTAAAATAATATTAATTATTAATAAGAACATAAATATTAATGAGAATATGATATATTAATATAAATAAGAATATAAAAAACTCAATTTGATTATTTATGAATCGAAACTAATTTCATTCATTTTTATTAATAATACAATTGTACCATTTAGAAAAGCCTAATTGAAAGACACTAGCGTTATCTATTCGACAAACATTCGTCGTCATCATGGTTCGATATAATTGGCAATTTAAATTGATTCAAATTGTTAAGTTATTTTTTTCGACTAAAAACAAAAAACAACTTTAAATATGTTTAACTTTTTATACTCTTCGTTAACTAGATATATGTAATATTCATAAAATCAGTGTACTCCCCTTATAAGGTATATTAGAGTAAATTAAAATACAACACCAAGAACATTAACACGAAAATAGCGTATTTTGGAATATGATGATAGCCATTTTCACCATGAAGACCATCTATATCTAGAATTTTTTTTTTTTATTATTATATAAGCTTTAATTTGAGGTTAAATAAAAGTATATTATAAGCTTAAATTTGAGATTAAATAAATGTGTAAATAATTCCGGAACATTTTTAAAAATTAAGTTGAAAAAATTTAACTTGTATGCGAAAATTGTTTTTTTGAATCCCCCCTGTGGTTGGGTCAAGAGTCAGTTCAAAAAATTTATATCAAATGAAAAGGAATTATATACGGTTTCAATATAAGATAAAATTTTGATTTGTTAATTTTTAATAAGTTATGGCAATTATTAAAAAAAAAAAATACTAATACACTAGTATAACAGTATAAAAATAATAGGTAGTACAGTGAGGTCGCGGCACAATATAGACATGACATAATTAGGACAAGAGTAGACGATATCTGACAGCGATTAAAATCACTATGATAAGAGACGTTTCGATGCAAATCTGTAGATAGTGTTTAATTTTAAGAAATTGGTGGATTATTCCAAAAGCAAAATTAACTACTACTTTAAGTTGATACTTGGAGGCCCTTTGAAAATAAAAGATAAGGTGTCGAGACAATTTTTTTTAATTTATAGTACATAATATAAGATTTAATTTAACATATTTTTATTGGGTGCAGCATTTCCGAAACATTTTCAAAAGTTGAGTTGAAAAAGTTCTACTTATTATACGCACGTTTCAAGTTTTAAACGCCCCCTGTATAAGAAGAAATTTGTCGATTTCACAAAAAAGAATGTCGGATTAAAGAGGTATATATAATGTACTTAAAAACAAAACTTTGTGTTGATCAACACATTTTTCAAAAAATTATAGCAGTTTAAAGTTGATAATTTAAAATCGAAATTTTTAACACCAAAATAGTATTTTTTAAACTTCGTAAGCCGTTTGCACGTAAAAGATAAGTCGTTAGGACATGTTTGAAACTCGAAATATTTCCGGAATATTTTCAAAACTTATGACGAAATAGTTAAATTTTTGTGCAAGAGTTGCTATTTTGAATTTCCCCCTGTGTGTAGATAAAAGGTCAATTTTACAAAAATATTATATCAAATAAAAAGAAATTACTTGAGATTTTAATATAAAAAAAATTATTTTGATTTGTTTATTTTTCAATAAGTTAAGGCAAATTTTAGAAAAAAAAAAAAATTGAAATAAATGTTGAAATTTATCGATTTTAAACGTAGTATCACATTTTAATACATGTAGCAAATAATACATATACTTAATAAAATATATCACCAAATCAGCGTTTCCCGTGGTTAANCATATACTTAATAAAATATATCAACAAATCAGCGTTTCCCGTGGTTAAGATGAATAAAAAAAATAATACCCTTACACAAATTCAACAACCCTCGTACGCATTTCATAATACGCCCACGTAAAAGATTTTATTACATTAATCAATGAAATACAAAAAAAGATATTTCAAGAATCTCACCAGAGATCGGTAACATAGTTTTGCGGGTTATAAAAAGGCCATTTTACCTCAAATTCGGGTGCTCTCTTGGTAACTTTACCGTCTTCTACCGCGACAAGAGTTATAACTACACGACTGTGCTCGTCTTTGTGGTATTCTCGGTCAGTACACGTATATGGAATCTGAGTGATATATATTTTGCTTTAAATTACAATTCTATATCAAATATACACATTTTTTGAAATGAAATATCCATTTCTAATCGCTGGGATTTAGAGAAATGGTTATACATCTTATTTTCGGCCGAATACTTTTGGTAATTCAAATATTCAAACACATATAAAATATTGGTATTCATTTATTTTATATATATATATATATACACACTTCAAAAAATTACATGATTAGATTGCATTGTGTTCTATTACTTATTGAAGCGCCACAAACTGGCTGGACTGAGTACTAGCACAATAATATCGTAGTCCAAATTTCAAATAATTTTTAGCCTTCTATGAAGTGTCTTTTCATTTTTCGACTAGCCAGTCTGATCTCAGCCGTTTTTCCGAAAGGAAATAGCGTGAACAATCAGAGTGTAAGATACTAGTATAATCTATTGTGCAAAGAACTTAAATTGAGCTCGTATCTACCCTAGATCATTCTGCGGATGACTGAAGAGACATAGGCCACTTGGAAAGAGATTACTTGCAAAAGAAAGTAATGTTGTTTTATTGTTTTATAAATTATTAAACTTATAAATGCGTTAGTATAAAACATTATTTACAAGGCCAAAAAATACACCATATAAATATACAAAAAGGGTCAAAATAATATACCAAAGAATAAATTTAATTTTCACCTTGAATAGATTTAATATAGAGTTCTATTAGAGAAATAGTTATACGCGAGTTAACATAGATTGTGTANTATAGTTGTATTAGAGAAATAGTTATACGCGAGTTGTTTGGGCCGGGGGTATTAAATAGTAAAATACCTCACCCGGTCACTACGACCTTTTTACCAAACGGTCTAGCTTCTTGGTATACCACTCCACGGCTGACCAACCTGTTAGTGTGTAGTGTGGTAATAGAGTCACTGGAGATGGGAGGGGTCGCCTGCGCAAAACCAGTGATCTATGTAGTGCTCCAGTGTGTATTGTGTGTGTATATGTTTTTGTGTGTACTCTTAAACTAAATAAATAAATAATTCAATTGCACTTATCACAGATATATTAATAAAATCGGAAGACAACAATCAACAGTAATAAATAAAATATAAAGGATAGCCCTTCTGGCTCAACAATAATAAAATAGGTTTAAACTCTGAAAAATAGTATACACAATAACCTATAAAAAATTTAACAATGAATACAAACTATTAAATAAATAATATATATAAAAAAAATTTCTTTGATTTAATTTGAATTATATGCTCAAGTCCTTATGACTGTAATCCCTTTGCCTTATGCGCGAGGATGATAATATGATACAAATTTTACTCAACACACAACAATTTGTTCAATAATTCAATTTACACTAATAAGACTAACAAATATGTAGATGCAATTGTAAGATAAACTTAAGTTACTTATACTACAATTTATAAAGTCAATACTCACAGTGAGATGATTAATGTAAACTGGCCAGCTGCTCTTAACACTAATAACACACAACTAAATATAATACAATAGAACAGACAGACGACAACACACAACTTTTTCCAGCAAGTAATACACAGAGTCAATATAATAATAGAAATAGTTTATCACAAATATTACAGTTCAAGTTAGAATATCACACGTTTGAATAGATTAAATAAACAATGCGAGCCCTATGGCTGTAAAATATAACTAATAATTATGAAAAAAATCGCACAAAAATTTCTCTTAAAAATATTCAAACTATTTTTCAACAACTCAAAAAAACTATAACTATATTTTAACTCTAGCCTACAAAATTACGGGTTCCGGAGATTGCCA